AAAAAAAAAAAAAGACAGTAAATGAATGTATGAATGAGTCAAGGAAAAACATCTAAAAACGTAAATGTGTAAATTAAGAAGCGTAAGTGTAATATTATGAAGAAGTGTAGAGTGTAATATTATGACCGTTCGGAGGGAAAAAACCTCTGTCTGTACCTGTGTCTATATAGGTATGGGGTTTGCTGTTCCAAAGTGCATTCATGAAGAATGTGGATATAGGGATTGGGCAAAAGCTCTGGGACTAAAATTTGGAAGCAATACAATAGGAAGTGAAATACAGATCCAGGAGATGGATTTGGTACAGAAGGTTAAGGAGAAATAGTTGTTTTGTTAGATTTGAGAAGAACTAAGGGAAAGAACTCTTCTCTGTATATACAGAAAATTACTTTTCCCACTAAAACACACCAAGTATATGCCCAGCCTTCATGAAAGTAAACAGAGAAACGAAGCGCCTTTATGTGGGTGGCCTTAGCCAGGACATTTCTGAGGCAGACCTACAAAATCAGTTCAGCAGATTTGGAGACGTTTCAGATGTGGACATCATCACACGGAAAGATGACCAAGGTAAATTTATGGTTCTTCACTGGGTAGTTAAAGGCAGACATAACTCAAGTTAAGTACTAGAAAATAAAACAACCCTAACATATATGTTAATTCTGAACAGCAAAAGTTTGAAATGATGTTTTGGAGGTATAATGTATGATGTGGAACTTGACCAGAATTCGTTTCTCAAATCAGAAAAAATTCTAAATTCTAAAACATCTGATTTCAGAAACATATTAACTTTCAGTTTTCAGAGCTAACATACTAACATTGATTAAGTGTCCCGTTAAATAGAATATCACTAGCATACAATAAAAATGTTTCCTTAACTGACTACTGGACATTTTCTACTTCTTTGGGACTATTTTGTTAATCCTGTTTATTTTTGTATCCAATAAGACATAAGGTTTATCTTTGAAAGAATAAGTTTTCAAGAACCATTTTTTTTTAGTTAATTATTATTTAGAAACTTAACTTTTTTTACATTGCTTTCTGAATAAGAATTCAAATAATTTTTTTTTTTTTTTAGGAAACCCACAGAAAGTCTTTGCATATATCAACATTAGTGTAGCAGAAGCAGACCTGAAAAAATGTAAGGCCATCATATATTTTCTATACTATTTGCCAGTTTGTATCACTTTGTAACTAGGAATAACTTTGGTTGTAAATCTAAACCTCCACAGGCACTTTTAAGTTATCCAGAGGGACAGCTGTGATGGAGAGAATTCCAGTATCCTATAACTCAGCAGGTTTAGGTCCATCCCATTTAGCATCAGCAGACATGGTAGCACACTGCTAATGGGTTTACTTAAAACTGCTATTCTCAAATATTTTGGACAAGGGACCAAACTTTCATAGAAACTGTCTGTTACATATCCCACTGAATATCGTGCCATTCCCCCTCGGTCTGATCATTTCTTTGGCAGCTAATCCGTGTCACTAAACAGTCTTACGGAGAGGGCTTTACAATACACCCTTGTAGGACCATAACCTTGAAATTGTGAAATCTGTTGATAAGTTTAGTAAAGACAAGGGCAAACAGTGGCCTTCAATGAAGAACAAGAGATAATCCAAACTGCCACAGTAACGTATTCTAGTTATTTGGAGGCCAAAAAGTGAAAAAGACACGGAAAATAAGTAAAGGGAATGTGCTAATAGAGGAAGAGGGCAATCAGTCTTTTGTAATTTCATTTGGAAAAAAATTGCTTTATTCTGTTTTTCATTTAGGAATATATGTGACAAATGTGAAGTTGTGGATAAGAATACATTAACTAGGCTTTGTAACCTGTGGCAATTTATTTAAAGTTTTCAGCTCCAGATTGCTTATGTGATGAATGACAAAAGATAGTGTTTGCCTTATATTTCTGTGATAATTAAATTAAATGATATATTTGCCACACTTTGGGAGGCTAAGGCAGGTGGATCACTCAAGGTCAGAAATTTGGAGACCAGCCTGGCCAACATGGTGAAACCCCATCTTTACTAAAAATACAAAAATTAGCTGGGTGTGGTGGCAGGCATGAGTAATCCCAGCTACTTGGTAGGCTGAGGCAGGAGAATTGCTTGAACCCAGGACGCAGAGGTTGCAGTGAGCCAAGATTGTGCCACTCCACTCCAGCCTGGGCAACAGAGGGACACTCTGTCTCAAAAAAAAAAAAAAGATACATTTGTACTTAGTATATACCTACCACCTACAAAATTCTGTTAATGGTATTATTAAGGAAGCTGACAGCAGATATTCAGAGAAATCAATTTCTAGGGCGTAGCAATTCAAACACAGTTCAGTTACTCACAGTTAATTCATCTACAAGTTCTACAGTGATAATTAGTATGAGGTGATAAAATAAGGTGCTGTAGGGTTCCAAAGTGTCCTCTGATTCACCTGAAAAGATTATTGTTTGATAATCACAATATAGGGAATAACAATAAAATATACATTAAATGTCAGTTATTCAGAGGTTCCTGACATTTGTTTATAAACAAATTGCAAATAAATTTTGCTTTACTTCTTACACATTTGCCTCATTTCAATCTAGTAACTCTGTGAAAGAGGGAGTGTAAAGACCCTTTTGGTAAGTCGTCAAGATGAGACAAGAGCCTAGGCTCCCTCTCTCCAGGTCTTATTTCTTTTCTTCCACTTCCCCTGGGTCTCTTTGTGATAAACCAGTCTGCTTTTTTTGATATTAAATAATTAGAAAAAGCACAAGCTGAAATATATTTTTGCATTGCCATGTACTTGAGTAACAATTCTTTGTTTTATAGGTATGTCTGTTTTAAATAAAACAAAATAGAAAGGTGGAACATTACAAATTCAACTAGCAAAAGAAAGCTTTTTGCACAGGTAAGTTTTACTCCACTTGGATTTAAACACTATTTTTTTTATATTGTAAGAGGTTTTATATATTCACTTATTTCAAATTTTCAAGTAATGTAGTATTCTTAACAAATTCAAATATTACAAGTAGAGCTGAAATCCCTGTCAACTCTGAATCCCCTTTACCCCAGACGCCAACAAAAAGGATAATTTGGTATATTTATGTATTATATAATAAGCTATAAAAGTATATATGTACTTATTTTCTCTTTGTTAACACACCCTTTTGTGGCAATATAGATCTCCTCCCTTTATAACAATTGCTAGTACTATTTCAGAAAATGGTTATACCACAGTGTAGCGGTCCCTTCCCACTGATGACTGTTGCTACTTTTTTATGGTCATAGATGATCCTGGAGCATGTATCCTGTGTATATTCAGGTGTTTCTCTGGGTTTATATCAAAAAATGGAGTTGCTGAATGTTAGCATTGTCTACATTTAAATTTTAATAGACTACTAAATTGCTTATGTTGATTTTGACTACTAATGCTAGTATCATACAAAAATATAAAGGAAATAGGAGATCACTATATGACAGGCATATGAGTGATTT